ATGTATTCCCCAATTGTTGGAAGTGCCAAATTTCTAAAATTACCTGAGGAAAAATAAATATACATAATTTTATATGTGTGTGTCTTAGTCAGCTGTGTGCTGCTGTGATCAAAAGACCTGACAAGAACAAGTTAGAAGAGGAAAAGTTTATTTTGGGCTCATAATTTCAGACATTCAGTGCATCGTCAACCTAGTCCATTACTCTAGGCCTGAGGTGAGGCAGAACATTATGGTGGAAGGATTTGGCAGAGGAAAGTTGTTCACCTCACATTAGAGGAGAAGCAGACAGAGAGGGAGGAGTAAGAGACAAAATATATTTCCCAAGGGCTTTCCCTAGTGATCTGCTTCCTTTAGAGGTACCCCACCTACTTAGAATTACCATCCAATAATCTATTTAAATTATTAGTCTTTCAAATGGATTAATCTACTGATTAGGTTATGACTTTCATCGTCTAATCATTTCATCTTTGGAAATTCCTTCTTTGTTACATGAGCTTTCTGTAGGATATCTCTAATTCAAATCATAAGAATATATGTGTGTGTGTATGTGTGTGTGTGTGTAAATTTTAAAATTGGAAGCTGAAGTATTATTTTAGTACCTTGGTCTAAAATGGTTTTATGGTATGACAAACAACAGGTTCTTGATTAAAATAGCTTTACAATATGGTTTAAGAGTTTCTTAAATATGATTGTTGCATCATCAGAATGTCTGGTAGGATAACCCTAACAATCTGATCTGAATCAGTGTCAACTGTGAACATTTGTGATGTGTTTGGTTTGGTTTTTCTATAAAACAACATCACAACTATGTGTGTGTGTGTGTGTGTGTGTATTTTGTTGTTGTTGTTGTTAGGGATGGAACCCAAGGCCTTGCTCATGCTGAGCAAGCATTCTACCACTAACCTGTACCTCCAGCCCAATCCTTCAGCTTCTCTAAAAAACACAACCTTAAGTATGTTTCTACCTATGAAAGAATAACTAAATTTTAAAGTTGAGATAATTTTTTAGAATCATTCTCATGTTTTTTGAGTGTCTATTATACAGAGAAATAAATTTGTTTTGGCATAAATACAGTATTTTCTTTTATCTTATGTTCATTCTTATATGCTTATACTCAGCTTTTTTTTTCTCCTAGGTGATAGTTTTTCTTCACAATTGTTTATCATCTCATCACTTAAAAAATTTCTATGAATAATTCTTGTAGCTTTGAAGCATTTCAAGATTTAGTTGTTCTTAAGACATTATTTCAAATTATTGATAAGAATAATATTCAGTTAGTGAAACTGCATATTTTATAATGATGGCAGAGAAACAAAATGACGTCTGATCCTACCGACTTTTGCTCCAGGATGCTTAATATAAAACAAGAACATTTCATATTGAAAATAGCAATGAGTGGAGATCTCTGGGGGTATCTGAGACCTCATCTTGTGGGGATGTAACTTTGCTGGAAGATGCAGGAGTTCAGGAACCAGTGCACAGGTACAGAGATGCTCCTGTCCCAGGGCCTCACAGGAGGTGGGCAACTTGTTTTGACCACATGATTTCAGAGGTGACCTCAGGAATCAATTGGAACAGCTGATTCTAAGGCCTCACAGTTAGGATTATAAAGAAAATGATCATTTTTTTAAAAGTATCAAATTGTTCTTCCCAAAAAAGGACTATACTGTAAAAGTTATTACTACTACTACTACTACTTTTTAAAATGTATCATCATCATCATCATCATCATCATCGGTACTAGGGATTGAACCCAGGGGCACTTTATCACTGAGCCACATCCCTATCCCCTTTTTAAATTTTTTATTTAGAGACAGAGTTGCTAAGTTGCTGAGGCTGGCTTTGAACTCATGATCCTCCTGCCTCAGCCTGCCAAATTGCTGGGATAATAGGCATGCACTGCTGGGCTTAGCCTTTTCTTTTTTCTTTTTAATACTAAGCCTTGTATGCTTATTTTGGGAAATGAATAAATGAATGAATGTGTGGTTTGGCCCTGTGAATGCTCCCCCTCTTGTTATGAAAGAACTCCTGGAATATCTCTATCAACTCAGCTGGTGTCTGCTGGCCTCAGCAACCTGCAGGCCCAGAGAGAAACCCAATTGCATGGGGCCCTTCTGGAGGCCTCGCCATGAGGGCTCAGATTCCAGGCACAGCTTCAAAGACTAAATCACTATGTGAAAGTTGAAGTCTTTGTAGGACTTACAGACTCCTTAGGGGGAGTGTACAATACACCTGGAGGCCATACACTGAGAGAAAGAGTGGGTACCTATGAGCCAATACATAGCATAGCAGAGAGGAACAGGGGGTACCTATGGGCCAATACATAGCACAGCAGGGAGGAAGAGGGGGTACCTATGGGCCAGTACATTTATTGGCTGAGGGTGTGATCCAGACAGGTACCCCAGGGGAACTTTCACTGGTGGATTGAAGTAACCAGGCAGTAGTTCCAAGGAAGTCACACTGTGACTGAGAGGGGGTCACCTGAAGCTCCTGAGCAAGCTTTAAATGGTCCTTTTAAGGGAAGCAGCTAGAAAGTAGCCTCTGAGTGGTTATCTCTGGCCAAGAGCTAAAGCCATCAGGTTCCCTTATAATATTGAAAACTATGTTGGGGTGACATCCAATAAGCAGTTACTTCTAGTGTGAAAATTAAACTTCTGTTTAACGCTACATAAAATTATAAGCACTCACTACCTGAGGAAACTGTCCTCACAGGATCATTTGTACAGTCTTAATATGTGATGACTTGTTTCACCATAAAGAAAATAAACATCCCATCTGATTCAAATGTATGATATGTCAAGATCATTGTACTGTCATGTGTTACTAATTAAAACAAATTAAAAAAAGAAAAGAAACAACGCAAATGCTTTTCATCCTTACAGCAACCCTGTTAGTTGTGTGATCTTATTGTCTCCATTGTACAGATGTGAAAGCTGAGACTGAGGCTGAGGTATATCCCAAGATCAGACAACTAACAGGGACATGTTCCCCTCCTGTGCCCTGTGTGATCTGCTTCTAGAATCTGCTTGGTCCTCAATAAGCAAAGGATGGTGGGGGGGAGGGGCAGAAGAAACCTGAGCTGAGAGAACTGAAAGGGGAGCCATGGGCCATGACTGTCAAAGGACATCATAAAGGAAGGCCTGCTGGGGAAGGGAGCAGGCCTCTCATATTAAGCAGTTCATGGATTAATCCTTACTTGCCCCCAACCATAGTATGACTTCTACTGGAGGGACTACTTTGTATACAGTAGGAATGACTCTGGCTGGACTGCTGAACTTGTTATACTAGAGAAATTGCAATGATAACACTCCAGGTAGCAAAGCCTGCCTATAACCTTCCAGAATTCTTTGAAATGCCTATAATGCCCCATTAACATAATGCTCCAATAACATCCCAACCACTTTGGGACTTCTTAACCATTTTTTTTTTGTGCCATGAACAAATCTATTCTGCTGTTTGCTGAAGCCTATGAGTACCTTCTCTGAGTAATGCTTGTAAATGCTGAACATTTGCAACTGGCATTACAGAGAAAAGCAATTATTGAAGTGCAGTAATGAGTGTGCTAGAAATTTTAATATGATAGGAATTCTTGATTATTAATTAGCATGTAAAATAACAAAATCTGGTGGTGAGCTTAATAACTACTGATATTTTGAAGAGATGAGAGATGCAAACAGTTTCCAACCACACAGTGATTGCTATAAAAATATCTGTAATTAATGTTGGTGACAAATGAACAGGACATGTTGAACTTGTGTGGCCTGTTTGTCTACTTCCATGATTGAAGCAAATGTTTAGTTTAGTTAGAGATTAGTGAAAATAAAGGTGTAATTGTTTTCTACTAATGTTTGCAGAACCCCTAAATGGTGTCTGTTCCCTATGTTAAGAACCCTGAGCCATGTGGGGCACTCCTTCAAGTAAGTCCTATGAACAACCTCATGGGCTTTTGATTGGGCTTCTAATGAAGCTTTAGCTCAAGTTAGGGAAAATGATACCTTAAAAATATGGAGCTTTCCTGCTTGTGGTTCTTGTAGACTGCATTTATGTAGGCTTTTTTTTTCCTGTTTTTCAACACAGTGTTTATAATGATCCCCATAAACACTTGCATCATTTTGTAGGATGCATTCTTAGAAATCAGTATATTTTGTTACCATTTGATATTCTCTCTTATTTTTTCCTATTTTTTTTTGTAATATGGCTAGTGTTTAGATAGAGCATTAGTTTTTGAATATTGAACTAATAACTAAACAACCTTTTTTGGATTTATCTACCATGGAGTCACATCATTGGAAAGTGCTGATAGTTGCTTTTTCTTCTTTCCAGTTTATATGCTTTTCTTTTTAAAATTTTCTTCTGTTTACTGATAGGACTTCAGTATAATGATAACAGAAGCAGTGTTGTCTATGAGTCTTCTTCCTGATTTTAAAGGAAATTCTTCTAATATGTCCCCATTGAGTCATGTGCTGGTACCAATTTTCAGTAGTTGGCAAGAACCAACCATTAATTTTTCATGAATTTTGCAAGCCAGTTTTAAAATGTCATCATTATTTAAAATTAAATTATGTAAATGTGAAAAATAAGCCAATCATCATATTAAAATACAGGTAATCAATTATCAGAACTTACCCCTTACTGCCTTTTTTGTGGTGTCTTGCTATGACCCCTGCTCTTCAGGCTGTTTACATGCCTTCTGTGTTCATGGTGGAAATGCTATGTGGCTTGTGTATGCAAGCCTTCCCAACCCCAGGTTCAATAACTTCACACTAAGGGCTTTGAATTGGCCTTGTTGAGAATAGTTACACCATGGACAATGACAAAGGCTGAAACTAGGGGTTTTATTTTCCTTATCAGCCTGTTGTTAAATATAGGCTAATGCACTTATGACCAAGACTGGTGCAAGTTCTAGCCTCTTAAGAAAAAAAGAAAGGAGAGAGGGAAAGAAGAGGAGAAAGGACATCTTCTCCCAATGTGATAACCTGCATGTATTGTTTTTTCTGCAGACAACTGTGATGCTCCACTGGCCTCTGCCTTGCCGCGAGTATCCTTCAGTAGCTCCTCAGAGCTGTCCAGTAGCCATGGCCCTGGCTTTGCAAGTCTAAATCGGAGAGATGGTGAGTCGGCTGCTGTCTTTGCTCCTTCCTCAGAGAGAGCTTTCATCCTTAGTTATTTTCCATTCTTGTAGCTCAAAAATTAATATTTGCATTTTATCGAATTTGAAGAAATTGGATTTTTTCATGTTATTTTCTATTTGCTTTCTTTTTATTATAAATTTATAAATTATAAATAAATTATGAATCTATTTTTTGTTTTAATAGTTTTCTTCCTTATTGGTTGCCAGTAAGTGCTCATAAAGGAAATTAATCAGAAGGGAATTACTGGGGCTACTCATTATTTCCAATGATTTCTTTTTAGTTTTAGAACAGGCTATATAAAGTTACTCATCTAGTAAGCTGATGATGAAAAACTCAAATATATAAATAAGTAAATGAGCCCATGTTAGAGTCACTGGGGGAAGTCAACAGGTACCAGGGCTGCTGATGGGCAATGACCACTATCCTGGGACATCACATGGGAGAAGGCCAGGGGTAGGCTCTGCTGATAGTAGGGATTTTCTTCCTGTGCAGTGTGAAGGAAGCAGCAGGCTTGCTTTTTGGAGATGTCTTATTCTATCATAAGAATAGAATCTCCAATGTCATTGAGTAAATTACCTTTTCTGTTGCATGAAGAGTAGTTCAGAGGATTAAATCAGTGAATACAATAAAAAGTTAAGTGCTCTACAACCTTCTAAAGAGGTAGAGTGATTTTTCTGTGAGAGTGAGCTAATTAATTCAGGAAGTACAGCTTAAAATGAGCTCTGCCCTCTGTAAGTACAACCTTGTAAATCTTGGTGATGTAGACTTAGAGTTGAGTATTTGCTCCTTATAAGTAATATTTCAAGATCTGGGTTTTAAGTATAGCTTGAGTTTCTTTATCCCTTAAAAATGAAGCATGGTACTTAGTTATCAGATACATTGATAGGAAAGAGTTGATACAAGAGGAAAACCCAGAGAGTGAGGGTTGGAGACCATGCCCATGATTGTTCACTCGCATTTTTAAAAAATATAGTTTTAGTAGTATATGGACACAATACCTGTATTTATTTATCTTTATGTGGTGCTGAGGATTGAACACAGTGCTTCACATGTGCTAGGCAAGTGCTCTACCACTGAACCACAATCCCAGCCCCTCATTTTTTTTTTAACCGTGGAGAATCATTCTGTAGCCTGAACATTAGATTTCAAATATTTTCTAGCATGACAGTAAAAATATATTTTCATTGCAACCAGATTTCACCCGTTTATATTATCAAATTACCATTTTTGGCCTGGCGGTTACTCTAATATCAGGTTAGCATCTAAACTTTTCAGTGGTTTCAAGGATTATAATAACCAAATAAACACTCAATTTAATTATTTTAAAGAAGCTCAGTGGGCTTGCATGTTGTGTTTCTGATCTGCAGAGACACAAACCTGTTATGATTTAGGCTCCACTGCTGTGGATACTGTGAAGGTTATAAACATACAGAGGGATAAATCTCCAAGTTTAGGATCCAGTTAATTCCATTATATTTTATTTAAAAAGTTAACAGCTCAGAATTATGAAATGATAGTACAAAATTCATCTTATATATTCAGACTACTTTTATTGGATATTTAAATTAATTTTTTTGTTTGAGAGTAGCAATCAGCCAACGAGGTTTAGTGTTTATGGTTGCTATTCTGATTGCATGTAATGTGTTTCAATAAATATTCCTTGATATTGCTACCAGACTTCATACTCATTCCTGAAGTGTGATTTACAAAGCTCAATATATCAATATTTCCTCTGAAGGATTATCTTTGTGTGTTTTCTGTTTTTCTTGTGCATTTTATTTATTTATGTATTCATGTTGTTTTCTATTGACTTATGAAAATATGTAATAAAGTATTTCTTAGCAACACTTTTGTGACAAATAATGGAAAGGGATCTTATGAACAGTACTGAGAAGGCTGAGTAGAGAAGTCTGGGCAGGTTCAGGTGTTTCTAGGGATCACAGCAGAGAGGCAGCTCCCAAAGGGCTGAGCATCATGGCCAATCATCCTGTGGCCACACTTGAGTCAGTGATTTTTATGAGTTTCCTACTGGCAGAGCAAATTATTGTAGAGATAGTAATGGATTAGTATTATCATTCAACAAAGAATTAAATATTCTTAAGAGTTTATTTACTTTTTATTTGCTATTTTTAGTTATACATGACAATAGAATATATTTTGACATATTATACATAACATGAACTACAATTTCCCGTTCTTTTGGTTGTACCTGATGTGGAATTACAATGATTGTGTATTCATATATGAAAATAAGAAAGTTATATCTGATTCATTCTACTGTTTTTTTCCATTCCCATTCTACCCTCTTCCCTTCATTACCCTTGTTTAATCCAAAGTACTTCTATTCTTCCCTACCCTCCTCCCCCCTTATCGTGAGTTAGCATCTGCATATCAGAAAGAACATTCAGACTTTGGTTTTAGGGGATTGGCTTATTTCACTTAGCATGATAGTCTCCAGTTCCATCCATTTACTGGAAAATGCCATAATTTTATTCTTGTTTATGGCTGAGTAATATTCCATTGTGTATATATACCATTTTTTAGAGGTTAGTTTTAAAATCTCTGCTCATAGTAATTCTTCTGGAATTCCCATTTAAAGCCTGAGCATGGGTTCCAGGTATACATTTAACTGAGTGACCCTGACATAATATTCTTTAGCTTTTTATACCAAGAAACATAAACTGTTGAAAAGTTAATAACTCAAAATGCCTGCCCTAAAGTTTTTAAAATTGATAGATTTTAAGAAATAAAACTTATACCTAATTAAGAAAATTAATGTCATTGGATATGGATATAAATTTATTTAAAAAATGGATTTGATTGTTCACTTCATTGCCATCAAAATTAAACTAAAATTAAGAGTTAATATGTCTCATGTAAAAGCAGATTGCTGAAATCTGCATTCTAAATATAATATTAATTTTCACTTTTTCCTTCTCAAAAAACTCCTAAGAAACTTTGTACTCCAAATTTATCCAGAAGTTAAAAATAAATAATAAGCACCCGGAAAACTATCTCCAAAAGTAGCCACATGAGCCTTTCATTTCACATTTTGCTTGTGCAGAGTCTCTAGGGTCTCTGCGATTCCAAATGCTGCTGCCTTCCAACCTCAGTGTTACCTTCTCATCCTGTCAGTCATGGAGGCTGTAGGTGCAGGCTTGAGACCAGAGCCGTGATCTTGGTAGAGGTGGTTGAAATTAACTAGGAAGAAGCATATTGAGGTTTTCTCTTTTCTGCTCCCTGCAAATGCTTACATAAATGTTCCTTTCCAGGAAAGGACTGCTCTGCTCATAACTCAGATGCTGAAATTGTGGACTCTAAAGCTGAAAGTGGCCACCTGCATGGGAGACCCCATTGGAGACTGGAAATTGTCAACTGCTTTGATTGAAACTCAAAGTGGCAGTGAGAATGTGGTATCATTTATTGCACAACAAAAGTAGATGGAGACAAATGGAACTGACTGACTTGTTCCTTTTTCCTTTTAATTCTCAACCTTACTAGTGCTGAGCCATTGGGCATGTTTCCACAGAAATACACTGTGCTCATCTATTGATGGAGCCAGGAAAATATTTGCCTAATACTTCCAATATTGTTCATTGCTGTGCATTTTAGAAACTCTTGTTAACATTAAGATACTTATTTCTCACTTCCATACATTTAGTAGTATACCTACTATTATGGACATCAGGAAGATAAGTAAGAAAATAAAAATGATTAGATTGAGGAAAATGTTTAGATTTGTCCTGAAGATACTAAATAGCTTCTTATAATATGGGACTTGACTATTTGAGTTCTCCTGTTTCCCCAGTAGTATATGATATAAAATTAATTGGCTTTTAATCGAAGAATGTTTTAAAAAACTTAAAAGAGTAGATAATAATTAAAACTATCTGAAAGTATGTCAACTCCTGATATAAATCAGAATGTTGCTAAATATTCAATGCAAATCTTTCCCTCACATTTTTTTCACAGAACCTAGTTTTTTTATACAGAGAAGTTTTTGCCTTTCCACATCAGATGCTTAATTCTGTTTATTTGGTCTTTCTAAAAAAAATTAAATCTATGAGGGCCAAGAGATGTTCTGTTTTTAAACTACCATTGTTTTCCTGAAAAAAATTAAAAAACACACACACACACACAAAACCTTGCAGATGCACCATGGGTGTGAAGTGCTGTGGACAGGTCAAAGGTAAAATGGGTGTTTTAAATATGTCCATGTACTGGTGCACAGAGCCCTGTCTTGGAAGTACATAGCTTTATTTAGTCAGTTTCTATGCAATGCAAAATGGTAGCATGTGTGATGAAAAGCTCTGAATCAGCCCTGTAGTCATCACATGGAAGGGATGCTGCTCTGGTTCTTTCCTGCTCCTTCTCTAGCTTCAGAGCCTCTATATTCTACGCAGAGCCTAAGTTACCAGATGAGACAAATGGAATGAACCAGCCAAGTTCATCCATGTTCATCCGTGTCTTCAGTGTTGTCAAGCATCCTTCAGGAGGCAGTGTTAGGTGTGACTTTGTCTACCAACTATAAAATTACCTCCAGAATCCGGGCTCTGGTAGACTCAGTTGCCTTCTTTGGAGGGTTAATTAAATCTATGAGGGCCAAGAGATGTTCTCAGGTAGATGGTAGATGTTTTCAGGAATGCTCAGATTTCTTATTGCTGTTCCTTTTTCTTTGGAAGATGGTTTTGGGATGCACAGGACAGTCTCCTGCCCTGGTGGAACTGTATGATAGGAGGAAATGTCAGGGTATGTCAGCTCCTCATGTTGGTCCTTGACTCTTGCTGTGTGCTGAGGGAGTTTGCCTGACTTTAACCCTGAAGACTAGTTGATTTCTGTTCCTAAAGCTTGTGGCAGACTTCCTAAGTGTTCCCAGGGAGTAGTCATCATCCTATGCTGAATGTGTCCTATGTCACTTCACTTCTTGTGATGGTGTGGCCTTCCTCAGGTCTGTGAGTCTTGTTTCTGGCTGAGCAGCA